AAGCAAGAATGTAAAAGAGAGGGGAAGATGAATTCTGATTGTACTCCTCCCAAGTCTGTACCCTACAGTTTAACAAAAAAAGTTCCAAAAGAATGCATAGGATGTTATACATATAAAAGACTCTAATGAAAGAGTATACAGATGTCTTTCATGTATTTTAAATTGGAAAGACTAATTTTGAAGCTAAAAGGAAAACAACAGTGTGCTATGAACCATATGCTTCATATTACTGAAGTATGTCATGCACAGGTCTGCCACTCAGTGAGAAACAACACAGAAATAGAGGAGATGTTGAAAAAAATAACTTGTGGGAAATCAAACCATCCCTAAATATGTGTTTTATTATCTTTGGGTGTTCTTTCCTCAGTTACCACCATGATGAAACCAGTTCCCAGCATCCATGAAAAAGGCTCCCCCTCACACCACATATCAAGATGCAGAGCAGGGTGACTGCACACTTGTGTTGGGTGAGAGGAATAGAAGCAGATGGAAATCCTCTTTTGCAGCCAGTGGTGTCATTTCTATCAAAGCAGCTTACATTGATGCCTGAACACACTTTTCAGGGATGCAAGATTTCTATAAAGCCATAGTTGGGCACAGTGCTATGGAATAAACAGAAACCAGATTATAATTGCCCATTAGTTTCCACTCAGTGCTAAACTGAAGAGAGTAACAAATAAGAATTGTCAATAAAAAAACACAGAAAAGGTCAAAAGGCAATGGCAAGACAGCTTAGGGTTAGTTCACATATGACTAGATAAAATGGTTACTCTTGTGCTACTTTGCAATATATCTATCTGATAAAAGCCCTTCTCATACATGTTCTCCATATATAAAGCTAAATCAGGGAAGATTTTACCCAGCTTCCTGGATTTTCTGGACATTTTGCCCAATGCCATCTTAAACTTCTATGTCATTCCTACCTCTCTGGAATGTTTGTTTGCAGCTAATCCATGCCTGATTCATATAATATATTTATCTTGTCTTTTCAGCATGGTTTGATTTTTTTAAGTGTATGAGAGGTGAGTAGAGTCATTGAGGAAACTGTTAGACATTATTGAGTTAGTTGGATCAACACTGTTAAAGAAGTTTTCCTCATTTAAAAATTAACACAAAAATTGTTATATAATGTTCCATAAAAGCCTACCGAAAACTGCCTGTATTTTGAAACATTGACATATCAGCCCTTGTCCCATCTCCCACCTTCTATCCTTCTCAGAATTGTACTTTCTAAAATGAATTGTGTCCAAGCCCATATACACTCCTCTTCATCCTCTTTAAAAAAAATGTTTTCATAGGTTTTCTCTTCGAAAATACATTGAAACTGCCCCCATTGCCAACTTATATTTATAGCAATCATTGTAGAGATAGCTTCATATTACTTTGTCTTTCCTCCTCAAGAAATAGAAAATTGCTTTAAAAAAATAGGAAAAATGCTAAAATTATCCAGAATGCTGAATTTTATCTAGGAACTTGGAGTCTATCACTGTACACACAGAATGAAAATAAGAGTTCTCAGAACACCCCACAGAAGAATCCTTCGGCCTTGGTGTGACATGTCAGGGCTGAACTCAAAAATCAGGGAGGTCTAGGATCCAAAGTGGCTTGGCATGGGGGGCAGGGTGTTAATGGTGAAAGGGATACCTTAAACCGTGCAGGATACCTATTTTGCCCTTTAAAATTCCCCATCTCCATGCTCTCACATTTTGGTCCTATCCACCAAGAAAGGCTTTAGAGGCGGCAACAAGAGACTGCATGTGGCCTTCACTTTTCACACTTCTGCCTTAAGCATTGGTTTTTCTGTTCATTTTTGCTCTTGCAAATGTATTGAAGATAACTCTAATGTAGTTAGTGAAGTCATGCTGCATTGTGAACTGCAAAATCAAGAACGGTTCTCTAGTATAGATAACAAAGACCTACCCTAGAGTGATTGATGAGAACATTATATGCGTGCAATGGGCTGGAAAGTCATCATCTTGTCTTTTCCTTTGCCACAGGAAAGACATACTAGAGAGATCTCTTTTCTTCTGGCCCTGCATAAGAAGGGTTTACATGGCATGGAAATGTGTTACACCAAGCAGAAGCTCATGAGTTTGCAGGGCACACAGTAAATCTGTTTAGTATCTGAGGCACAAAAGAGAACAGCACTCTTTTGATAGTGATGCCTGGCCCCTTTCATTTGCTTTTCTAAATATACCGTTTGCTTCCAATTCATTGAGTGGCATTTTGCAACAGTACATACTTTCGTGTGGTAGACTCTCTGATTGGTGGGTGGTTGTTTTTATTCTTAATTGGCATGAGTAAATGAAAGGTTACTTAGGCTCTGATGTAGTAGAGGTACTTCAGTCTGTTTAAAGCCGTTTGCCAAACTACAGCATCTGTTTTAACCCTCTAGATTCATTCTCCATGGAGTGATTTGTAGTGGGATAATATCCTAACTTCTCACCAATTGCAACAATTCCTTGATTTGCTAGGTTGTGTGTGTGTTTTTTTTATAAAACTATGTGTTCATCTTAACTTTTCATTCTGTCCAGTTTCTTTGTCAGGTCCAAGTTCCTTTGTACTTTCACCTCTTCAGTTTTGTTGAAAAAGTATGTCTGACACAATACATAGATTTTAAACCTGGAAATATATTGACTCAGCTTCCCTCTTTCAGGACTGGGAAAGACCTTTCAAACTTGTAAAATCCCATCCTCAGTTGCCATAAAATTAAAATGTTTGTATTAATAAACATGGCTTTAGGCCATACTTACTTACCATGCTTTTCATGATTTAGTAACCATGACTGGCAACTGTTAGCCAATGTAAACAAGGGAAAGAGAATCCCAGTCTTGTGACTAGATCTAGTTCCCATATCTAGGTAAGCAGGGCCAAATGAGTGTCCGCCAATCTTTGAGAAGAATGGAAGTAGAGTTCTTCTTTTCCATTTTCTTCACTGTGATGTCTTTTCTTCCATACTTTCCAAGAAAAAGATCAGTGGGGAGGAATGGGCTTGGTGTTTGTTTCCTAGCCTAATTTGTTGCCTGTTGATATTAAGCAGAATAAAAGAAGGGCAGGAGCGTCTCCACTGCTCCATTCATTAGAAAACACTGGAAGGGTATTGGGGGGAAGAAGTCCCCATAAAGTGTATGTGGATAAAAGGTAACCAGCACCCTTTGAAGAGGTGTTTAGCTTGGGCTGAGGAGCTAGGCATAATCTGAAAGCACAAAGACTATGCTGCCAGTCAGTCCTATATTGTTCTATTTAGGGACCCTAGAGAGCAAACTGTTATGTTCAGTTTCTTTGCAATTAGAGTCCAAGTCTATTTTCATAATTAAAATGTTCTGCTCAGTTTTTTTGTTTGGTTTGTCTTAAGAAGCAGGGTTATTATTTTTTTTTTTAAGGGTGACAATTCTTTGTTTATCTAGTACAGGTTTACCAGACTGATCTGCTAAGAATTTATTCCTTGCTGCTATTCAAGTCACCCTTAATCTAAGTGGGGGGGGGGAGTGCAGATTCACTTATTTGAGCAAACTTGAGCTCCTGAGCCTGAAGCTGCTTGCAAAAGCATGTTCCCCTTTGGTGCATTGTCTCAGCTTCCTAATCACTGACCAGCTGTCTTGTTAGTGAATAGAACTGTGGGCCCCTTGCCATGTTTCATGTGAGGTCTTGGCTGGATGGCCAAGCAGGCAGCCTGCAGCCACCGTCAAAGCAATTCGAGAGATATTGGCACAGCAGTGCCTCCATTAATATCTGTTGTCACATGCTGTCATGCAACTTAAACCAGAGAGGAAATGACCGTTGGAGACAGAGGAAGTGTGCTAGTGGCACTTGGTATCCTCTACACATTGTCCTTGAGGTTAAACAAGTGGATACAATTAGGTGATGTCCATAAACAGCTGTTAGGAAGCAGAAACTGAATTTTGGTCCTATAACCATGTGCCTCTCTTCTTAAAAAGAAGAATGCTCTCAGCAACAGCCATCTCTTAAGTGTTAACAATAGCTAACAGAACAATCTGGTGAATGCTTTTTCAGATATAAACTCGATTTCATTCAGTAAAAATTACTGCTTGGGGAGAGCATCTAGAATTGGGTCCTCTGAGCTGAAGCATTAAATCAGCCAATGTTATTGTATGTTAATAAATCAGCTAATATACCATAGAATGTTATTTGAAACAGGATGAAAAGCCAATAAGACACAATTCCATGTTTCATTCATATAATTTTGCCTTTTCTCAATAAATCCTCAGTTCAGGTTCTTCTGATATTTAGAAGATAGATAGACCTGCTTCGTGTATCATTTTAAGCCACAATTTGAATGTGTTACAGTCTTCTGTGTTCATGCAGCCTACTAAACTGAAATTCTAATAAAGCCCTTTAGTGATATTTATGAAACGTGGAGCCAGTCAGTCTCTTTTAAAATTATTTGTTTATGAAGATTTGTAGAAATAACAAATATATAAGTATTCTGTAATGTCCCTTTCACCAAATTAAGAAAAGTACTTAGAAATCTTTCGATGAGTAATCTGGCAACATTAACCTGAAGATACTGTCAATATAATATAATGCATAATTCTCATATTTATTTTCAACATGGAATGAAAACAATGCAAAATGTTTTTTGTTTTATCTTATTAAATGAATGTAGTAAATATAATTTAATAGAAGCAGCACAAGAAATAACTCTTAAGTATGACATATGGTCACATAACCATTCATAAAGATTTTTCAGCAAACTAATAAAATGAAACATGGAAATTGGGCCTGAGCATTAATTTACCTTCACACAGGTATATCAATTTGCCTGTTAATGGTTAATGAGAAACCTTTTTTCTATGTCAGCCCCTTTGAGAAATTAGTATATGGGTGGGTATAGTACTATTGTGTATGTTTATTTGCCAGTTAATTCCATTGCTTTGAATTAGGCTCACTTTCTAATAGGTATAGATATGAACTATTCCAAAATCTAATACTTCTGCTTCTTACCTTTCCATCAAAACATTTGATTCCTTATTCCCTAGGATATGATGTTTCAGCTGCTACGAGGCCTTGATTTTCTGCATTCACACAGAGTGGTCCACCGTGATTTGAAGCCCCAGAACATTCTAGTCACCAGCAGTGGACAAATAAAATTAGCTGACTTTGGCCTTGCGCGGATCTACAGTTTTCAGATGGCTCTTACTTCTGTGGTAAGTTTCAGTGATCTTGCGTATTTTTCAATCTAATTCCAAGATTTGGTTTTATAGAGATGTTACTTTATCAGTATGAAAAAAACAGTTCAAAAATTCTAAATCGGAGTTCCTATCTCTCAGCCCTTCCAGGTGGTCCAGACAAGAAACCAATACCACGAGTAATAACACTACCTTTACTCTAAGGTTACAGTAGCAGAATCTTGCAAGTCTGAAAGGACTTCCCCCCTCTCCTGCCTTTACTTTACAGAGAACTAGGGAAGGTCCCTTCTGAAATGCTTTCCATGCTCCCATTCCTTCTGTGGACTGAGATGCCTCTTATCTGACCATTGCCCTGGCTGTGGCTCTTCCTTCCCCTGTCTCAAGGATATTCCCACAGACCATTTCACTATCCCAATGCTCTCTAAATATGTTAGGCTTCCGTAATCTTCTAGCCAGCATGGGCAGCATGCAGCCTGGAAGACTGGGAGTTAAAGTCCAGTGTATCTAGTGGTACTTAATCGTGGAAACTTGAGACTAAAAAGCATAACTTATTTGAAGCTGTTGTATTACTCAGGAGAGGAAGAATTGCATTTGCCAGTTACTGAGACTTATAGCAATTGGGCTAACTTATTAAAACCAAGCACCATTATATTTGTTGTTTTCTCCCCCCATCCCGCAAGAAATGCAGGTAGGATTATATTGACTGACAAAGCAATGCTTGTGCAAAAGTGGATTTTTTTTTTTGCATAATATCCTTTTTTATATTTTCTACTTCATTAAACTGGTTCTACCTTGATGGAAGCACCTACGTATAACCCTAAGTATATAATACAATTAGCTATGTGTACAGTAATTAGCTACTAAACAGTTTTGGGGGTTTGTTAAATTTTGGATGGATTCATTAAAAAAAATGTTTTTTTATCCTTTTGGTTTAATCATATATATGAACCCACCTGTTGTAGTTTATAAAGTGTGATTTATTTGTATCGACCTGACTGCAGCTTGTTCAGAAAACATTATTTAAACAAGTCATGGCTTAATATTGTCTGTGAACCCAGAAAGAGATAATACTTAGAAGGAGACCTGCAACTATCTTAAGGGTAAATGTAGCACTAAAAGAAAAAAACAGTAAGATTATCATAGAAAACCCACAAATAAAATATAAGAGTTTATGGATTTGTTTAAAGTGATCATTTGTATCTTGGTATATTTGTATGGCTGAAGAAAGCGAAATAGAATAAGAAAAATGTAGAATAATAAGAAATAGTCTTATAGTAATCTTTTGGCGATCATATTAGTAAGAACTGCATTTATACTTTTATAAGTGCATTTCTTACTAATTCAGCGTAATTTACCAGTTCTTACTTGAGCTCTCCTCAGCATACTCATTGCTGAAGCTCATTGTTGAAGGGTTGTAGGAGGTACAGCAGAGCTTCAGGGATAATTAATAGGGAATAATGATCGCTGAAAGACAGGCAAGCTTCCTAGTCATCTTTATAGCCTACTCCCCCATAAATTGTACTGGAAATTAAAAATAAAATGGATCATTGTAGAACATTTTCTTCTTACAGATGAGGCATTGCATACTGGATGTAAGTGATAAAAAGCATTCCTAGTTATAGGCAGGCTTCTTCAGAATCAAGGACAGATCCAAGAATGTGGGAGTAACTGTGTAAAAAAACCTCACTTGCTGATATTATCCCAAATTATGCTGCAGCATTCTGCCACATGAATTATCTAATTTGGTTCTAAATTGACAAACCATTATGGATAATATAGAGATTTGGGCCAGTGGTAAAATCTCCTCTTCTCCTGATGTAGCCTGAATTCAGATATACTGTACACCTTGTAACCCATTGGGTTACATACTGAATCATAGAACTGGAGGACTAATAATAAATCAGATATATCAACTAGTAAAATTACATACCCTAATTAAGAACATTTTAGAGTTATGGTTTCTCCAGCAGGCATCTATCCAAATATTTCTTGAAAACTCTGAAAAAGGAAAATATCAGTGCTTCCCTAAATAAGTTGTTTAATGCTAAACTTAAGAATCAGGATGTTCTCCCCAAAAATTTAACTTAAGTCTCATCTCATTTTGAAGTACAGTGGAACCTCGGTTTACGAACTTAATTCATTCCATGACTCTGGTCACACCCCGAATTGGTCGCAACCCGAAGGAAATTTTCCCATAAGGTTCAATGTAATTACC